TATTTTTGACAAAAATGGTGATAACAACCCTAAATCCTTAACTAAAGTTGGAATATAACTACTTCAAATCCTAGAAGCACTATAAATTATAATTAAAGCCCAAAAATGAAAATAACGAAATTTCAAAAACATCTCAAAACTTCTAATATCACAAAACGTCCATAAGGTTTACGAAACTATCAGATTGCATCATTAATGTTTTTTCATGTCATTGGTGGTCCTCAAGGTTAGTGTGTGTGATCACAAATAGTCCATGCCGTGTGGTTCCGTCAAAAACTCCGTTAGTTTGCTAACATGGCATATATATATATAACAAAACATCCCTGAGGTTCACGCACCTATCACAAATGGTCCGTGTAAATTTTTTTAATTTTTTAAATTTAAAATTCATAAAATTTTGGTTTTCTTTTTTAAATCTTATGAATTTTAAATTATTTAAAAATAGATATTGTATTTTAAATATACATGACACTATATTATTGTAGATGTGGGCTCCACATATATACCATATCAACAAACTAATGCAGTTTAAAAAAAATAATTTAAAATTCATAAAATTTTAAAAAGAAAAAAAAACAAGGGTTTAGGTTCATAAATGGTCCTCCATGTAATCTTTCTATAAATGGTTTTTTCATTTTTAAATTTTATGAATTTTAAATTATTTTTAAAAAACTTCATTAGTTTGTTGATGTAGCATATATGAGGAGCCCACGTCTTCAAAAATATAGTGTCATATGTATTTAAAATAATATAAAAAATAAAACCAAAATGTTATGAATTTTAAATTTAAAAATTAAAAATTTCGCAGGGACCATTTGTGATAGATGTGTGAACCTCGGGGATGTTTTGTGATATATATGCCATGTCAGCAAACTAACGGAGTTTTTGATGGAACCTAATGGCATGGACCATTTGTGATCACACATACTAACTTTAAGGACCACGAATGACAAGAAAAAAAAACATTAAGGATGCAATCTGATAGTTTCGTAAACCTTAGGAACGTTTTGTAATAATAAGCCTTTTTTTTTTAAAAAATATTAGTATAAGTGATAGTAGAAGGGGATTTCTTACTCAAACACACTACTATGATGCCATAGGGGTTCGAATATGAGACAACTAATATGCAAGTCAACTATGAGTTCTCATTTGACATGTAGATAAATACTCCATATGAGAACTACGGTTGATCGCGTTCAGTGTACTCATTCACTAATGAGCACCCACATACTTGTATTAGTGTCAACTACACAAATGGTTTGAGACTAACCATCCTCCCAATTGAGCATACATAATATGCGCTAATCTTGACGGTTTATCAATGCCCATTTGATAACCTATGATTAGGAACATTTTGGGATACTACAATTAGAGATTAAAGGTCTCATGAATCTAATCTTCTTTAGATTACTTTATCTCTTATTCAGCATACCCTGGACATTTGTTTCTTTACACGATGTAAAAGATAACAAATTAAGTTTGCCCTTTATATATCATATACGAAATGTATTCTAAGGAGATTACATCAAATGTATTGGCTCTTAGGGCACATTTCTAACAAGCCCAACCAATTTTGCATCCTTTGTGCAAGCATCGATTCAATTGCTCCTCAATCTCCTCCGCAAGCCGTTGGACATCAACTAGGGACAACACAAATTCTTTAGCATCTATGACATAACTAAATTGAAACAGAATACAACAATAAGTAGATGAGTCCATGACACAAGTTAAGCACGTTTGGTTTCTTCAGCGTGTGTCAGTCATCGAGAAGTAGTATGTAATGTGAAGTTCTTAGAGCACTTCCAGCTGTTTGTTTTGCCAAGGCAAAAGGCCCTTGGCTACAAAAACTCAAGCCACCAAGCAAATCTAGACCGAGCAGGAAGTGGGCATCACTAAGAGCACTTCCACCTCTATGGGCAAAGACAAGGCAATGGCTGTCATTATTCACGTGAATAGTGGCAACCCTTGCAATTTTGTTTCCACCTCTCTGGGTTAGGGCAAGGGCAATTACTATTCACATGAGATATGAGAAGATGAATTTGTATAGAGTTTTTGGTGTGGGAAATAAAGAATATGGCTATGTATTTATATAAAATAAAATAAAATAATTTTTTTTGAAAATTTTGGTATTTTTTCCATTTTTTTTTAGTTGCTGGTGTCATTATGACGCCAACATGTTGTCATTTTGCCCAAGCAGCAGCTCGAGATGAACATACTCGTGGGCTTGCCTGGGCTCGTGGGACCCACCCCTTGCCCGGGCTGGACTTGGCGCGGTGGAGTTGGATTTTGGCCCTTGGACCCCCTTCTACCCGAGCTGGCCTTGCGTGTTGGAGATGCTCTAAGAATGGACAGGCCCGAAGAATAAAATTGAAAAAATATCAAAAAATTCTGAATTATTTATTTATTTATAAATACTTAGCAATTTTTTATTTATTAATCTCATACATATATAAATAAAATTAATCCCATGTGAATAGTAATTGTCCTTGGGTTGCCATGACAATGGGTGGAAAATAAAAAAAATAAAATTGATAGGGCATATATTATTCACGTGAACAGTAATCACCTTTACTTGCCCTTGCGCTTTACCATGACAAATAGGTGAAAGTGCTTTAATGTGATGTTCTTACATGAAAGAATATTTATGTGGAATTGAAATTTAAGCTGTGATCTTACATGAATTAATATATCTGTGGAATTGAACTTTAAGTCGATCTTCTGAGGTGGAACACTAGCATAAACTAGAAGTACTGTTAAATTTAAGCTGTGATCTTACATGAATTAATATATCTGTGGAATTGAACTTTAAGTCGATCTTCTGAGGTGGAACACTAGCATCAACTAGAAGTACTGTTAAAAAACAAACCTTAACCTTCACTGAATGAAGATCAATCCATTCGAAGCAACTTCTGCAGCTTTAACAAATCTAGAAAAGAAGCAAGTCACGGGGCATAAAACAAAAGTGAAAACTAAAAAACAAGAATATTGTATATCCTCACTAAACAATGTTTATTTTGCTTGAATGTTTTACACATATCAGTTCAAACAACATAACAAAACTGTGAGAAAAGGACTCCAGCATCTGTATTTGGCAATCTTGTGTGGATCAAATACATTTGTCCCACATCAAAAAATGAACTGTCCATAATGTGGTAACTTTGCTTAAATTGCACTAATATAAACTCCCAACGTCAAATCCTAACGGGAATAAATGACAAAATTGAGGACAATATCGATACGCTCTCTCTAGCTACCAGTCTAGAGAACATGGTCCCCAACAATTACACGTATCAACGTTGCTTGAAATGCTTTACATATACATTGGAGGCCCGCACTGAAAGTTGAAAAGAATGACAACCAGAATATGGCTAGGGCCAACTCACTACCAAAACACACAAAGAATCAACGGAGAAGAGAGAGAAAACGTCCAATAATGGAACACATTTAAATCTGCTTATAATATAAATAGTCAAACATAAGTGATTTGACCACATTGCAATTTTGCACGTGTAAAATCGCCAGAACACACACCCGCCGACGGCTGAAGACAAAACCAGCATTGAAATTCTTTTTCTTTATCTTCCCTTCCCTTATCCAACGGCTTCACTTCTAGGTTGTTGCCTTTCTTTACTCATTTTCAATCTATATATATATACACAAACTAGTGCTTCCATTATTTTCATAAGAGACTTTAGTCTTCTCCAAAACCCAGAATTTCAATCCCCATGGAATCTCATTCCTCTTCTTCTTCTTCAGTTTCTTCCACCACCACATACTTGTCTCAAACCATGCAACCAACAAAGGGTTCAATCTCAAATTCAACTTCACTTCCATATCAGCAATCCTCACTCCACTCTGTTCGAAGGTCTTTGTCGAAGCCGTGGCGGAAGCCGGCAGTGGCTCCACTACCGCCAACTCGGCCAAGAATCTACAAAGTGGACCCCATTAACTTCAAAGACCTTGTTCAGAGCCTCACCGGCCCGCCGGAGTCTTTTGAGGCTCGAACTCTCCAAAGCGTTGCGCCGGCGCCGATTGATGTTCATAGAAACGCCTCTGTTCTAAACCATGTTCCTTCTTCTGCTTCTTCCCCTGCATCAAAAATTATTTCACCATTTTCAGCCATGTACAAGGACTTGGCTGCTGATACATTGGAGCTGAGCTCTATGCCTCATCATCAGAAGGTACATGATAGCATGGTGGACCAGAGTTATCCGAGACTGAACTTGCAGTCACCATCTTCCCATCATTGGTTTTCTTTTCCCCTGCTCAGTCCAGGGACTCTGTCCAGCCTGGAACAGAGCACTGTGCTTTAGGAGGACCTATTTCAAAATCCCAATTTCTTTCAATTGTGGCGTTTTTTTTTCTTTTCTTCAAACTTTATATTTCTGGTTTAAGTTATAGCATCCTACTAGTATAGTAAGAGAGGCTGTATGTGATGATGTGATTTTGGCTGCAACGCTAAGCTAGCTGCTTCAGAAGCCTTTTAATGTGAATGTGACACTAATTATGAAATCAATGAAATAATTAAAGTGAGTATCTTTTTAAATCAAATTATGGAGAAGTTGATGAACTATTGTTTTTTCGATTTTTGTTGCTCAAACTTATGAGACACTTGATATGCACGCAAACGAACGAAGATGTCATCGGCAAATTCTGGCCACAGCACATGGGATTACCGTCAATGAGAGTCATTACATGTACCAAACTTCGTCAGATCAACCTCAACTAACATTTAAGTGAAGGATTCAAAATTTGCTGCCGTTAAAGGATTTCAAAGACAAACAGGCGGCTGCAAACGAGTGGAGGACATGGGGTAGCCGTCATATGTCACCACCAATAATAACTTTGTTGTGGAAAGCTAAACAAATTTTCTGTTCTTTTCCTTTTTTTTTCTTTGGTACAGCGGAAAGTGAACAATTGAAAGATATGGCACAAGTTTGTCGCTATTGAAAAAATTATTAGGGGCAAAAAGGACTGAAAACGATTAGCTAAATGGCCAAGATCAAAATGAATAAGTACTTCTGTATAATCTGTAAAACATCATTCATCTATATATACACAAAGAATAGTACCACAGCCAAAGCTACAAATATGAATCAATTTTAGTCGGGGATTTTTTCAGCAAAGTTCATGGTAACCAGTAACAGAAACTGTCAGCAAAAAAGAAAAAAAAAACACAGTAAAACTGAGTTGAAGTCCCTTGTTCTTTGTGTCCCCTTTGAGGTTGAGGAATTAATCAGCAAGTCTTATAATTATGCAGAGCTATTGATCCCAGTAGTTTCTAAGCTGTGACATGTGAAGCAAAAGTTCATCCCTGCCAAAGCCAGTTACACTGCTAGTCATTATCCATGGGGGTTGTACCCGGTAGTTTTCTCGAATAAACTGCTGAAAATCCCTGAGGTTCTCATCTGGCCTTTTACCTTTGCCCGCCTTCATTTTGTCACACTTGGTGAAGACAAAAGTCATTGGTATCTAAAAGCAGAAAGAGCAGAAAATTCATGAGCATCTTATTAAGGGGTTAACATAAAGGGATTTAATATCAGAGAGCACTGTACATTGTTACGTCCAAGCCAATTAGCACAGTCAAGGTCGATCTTCTGAGGTGGAACACTAGCATCAACTAGAAGTAACACGGCAACAAGAGTATCTCGGTTCAAAAAGAAACCTTTCGTGAATGCAGACCAATCCATTCGAGCTGCTTCTGGAGCTTTAGCAAACCTACAAACAAAGAAAATCAATAGACATAGAAAAGTAAAAAAAATGAAAGAGCAGAGAAGCTAACAATAACCAGTATTGAAACAACAGGATTTCCTCATTGTTTTGCTTGAAATGTTTTTACACATGAATTCAAACAAAATTACCAAACAGAGATAAAATGAGTCCAGGATCAAGGCTTAGCAATCTTGTTACCAACATAATATTCATGTTTACAACTGATTGCCAACATTGCAGCCCATACTGAAACTTCAAAAGAATATCAACCAGAATACGGCTAGGGCCATCTTACTACGCTCTTGACAGATCATTCTATGATCTTATCTACAGCACTATATAAGGTCTATTGGTCATTGTTAACATTAATTATGCCTATGTTTGTTAGAGTGAATAAGGCAGAGTCTCCAGCACCATGGTCATAACTGCTAGTCCTTCCCCAAGAGAGCGGTGATGCATTCAATGCTAGTTGAATTGAACACTGATTCATAAGCAGTTGACTTCCCTAAGAGTGTGGTGATGCATTCAAATTCTAATTAAATATTTTTGTAAGCAATTTACTAAGGGCAGAGATAGGTGGTTTTTTTAATGGAGAAAAATCTCCATTCTATAGAAAAATAATCACAATGCATATCAGCTGGAGTTCATTCCTTGATGCCAACTAGTGCATGCCAAACAATCTGAAACTTAGAACTAGTAATTTAAAGGAAAATACCACGAAAATAAGTTTAGTAGCAGAGACATGTATCTGATCTCAAAGCAAACTGTGTGCACCACTGTTACTAAATTCAGCTCACAACCAAGTTCAGAAAACTTAGTCGCTTAGATTAAGAACTATTGAAACCACTAAAAATATTAATGTTATAACACATAAATATTCAACGTTTGTTATAAACTCAAATCACAAAAGCCTCAATCACAACTACTTGTGATCCTACAGAGAGTTGGTTGGTCTTGCAGAGAGCTGTAGTCTAAAGGAAGTGGTTGGCCTTGAAATACATGTCACATAAGATGCTAGACAACAGTATTTGAGTGAAAAATTAGTTTTATGTGCTTCATGTGTCTTCCCATAACTAATACTTACTCTTGATTAATTCACTGACACATAAAATTCTCTTGCATCCCCTCTTTCAAAAGAAAAGAAAAGAAAAGAAAAGAAAAATTATTGCATTCCATGAAAAAGCACAAACCGAACTGATTTAGAGCACCTACTTCCAACAAAGTTCGAGACTTTCTGCAGCCATATTGATAGTTTTCCTATGTACAACTAGTTCCAAACATTCAGAAATGGAGATCCATACAACTTTATTACCATATAAATACCAGTCAGAGATCATGAATCCCAAATAGGAAAAAGGTTGCAGAGAATGCAAAAGGTTGTCTTTTGCAAATTTAAACCTTACATTACACCTAATAGTACAAGAAGGAAGGATGAGGGCCTTACCCATAACCAGGCAAATCCACAAAGTACCAACTTTTGTTCACCAAGAAATGATTGATAAGCTTGGTCTTCCCTACACAAAATTAAACAAAACTCAGCAAAACCCAGATACTAAAACACATTAAAACTGCAAAAACTTAAAATTCTAAGAACTAAAAGAAACCTGGTTTCTTAGATGTAAGTGCAACATCCTTCTTGCGAACCAAAGCATTAATAAGTGAGGACTTGCCCACATTGGAGCGACCCAGAATAGCAAATTCGGGTCGGTCATGTTTGGGGCAATCCTTAGCTCTAGCACTGCTCTTCACGAACTCCACCTCCTTAATCTTGGCGTCACCCGCATAGGGTCCGAGCACGATATTCGACCCGGATAGCACCATGTTCTCGGTCACCTCGGCCGGGTCAACGCCGGGCGGGATAAACAGGAGGGTCTTGTCGAAGATTGTTGGGTTAGCTGTGGCTTTTGAAGCTGAAACATGGCGGTTTGGGGTTGGGTTTCGAAGGGTCGGGTTTGAGATGAGGGTTCGGAACGAGAGAGTGAAGGGCTGAGCTTTTAGAGGTGGAGAGGAAGATGGTGATAAGAAGGAAGTGATTTGCGGGCGCAGGAGGCGGTTTCTCAGTAACATTTTTTGGGGTTCAAGAGAGGTTTTGAGAGGCTATAAAAAAATGGCCATCTAAGCCATTTTTGGACAACGGATTGGAGGCTGAGTTTGAACTTTCGGTGGCTCGACTTATCTGTGGAACAAATTTGGATTCAATACATTAATGTTTCAGTTTTAAACTTAAAAATCTTGTGACCGAAAATGAAAAAGTTGTTGCAAAATATACAGAGTATGATAGCAGTGGAATTGTATTTACTTTTTATATTTTATTTTTTATGCAAGCGATATTAGGAGAGTGAGGAATCAAACTTAGGACCTTGAGTGCAGGGGTAAGGCCATCTTCAAAGTGGGGAGAGCTATATTTAGCCATCTAATAAATGATTTTAACCATTCCGACAATAAAGGGCTAAATTTAATATTTTAATAAGTTTTAGTATATCATGTAAATTTAATTAAATTACTATTTATATCCTATTTAAAATACATTTAGAAGAGAAATATTTTGGGATATGATTTTGGACATCCATGTCGGCACGTGATTAACCCTATAAATTTATGATTAGAATTTTTCTCCACTTGGCACATCTTATCATGATGTCATCCCAGCAATTTTTCAGATTGGATTTTCAAAAGCCACCTGTCGTTACGTGATTAGCCCTCCATATTTTAAATTGGATTTTTGTCCACGTGGCACATCTTATCTTCAGCTTCAAAGGTCAATAAAAGAGATGTTTTAGGTTTCATATCTCACACCTTCATCTAATTCCTCTCCAATTCCTCGCTTTAATTTTGTATAATTTGTCATTCTAATTCAATTCTGCAATGGATTCCAACTGGGGTTCATCTTCCAATTCTGAATTGGAAGACAAATGAGAGGAGCGGAGACGCCAACTGATGGAGCAAGATGAAGAAGATGATACTCGGAGGCGCAAAAACGACTTTATGGCAACAACCGCCGCATCCTGGGAGTGTGAGGAAACGTCCCAACAGGTCAATACGCTCTCGTACCTCAAACAACAACCTACAAAAGGATCTTGTTGCACATCTTTGGGCCAAACGAGCACTAGAATGATGAAGGCCTTATGACATATGACATTAGCTAGTCTTTTGTGTTTGCAACTAATAATAATTAACAATACATTGTCATGTTCAAGTCTTCGTCTTGTTTTAAAAACAAAGAATAATTGACAATACATTGTCATGTTCAAGTCTATGTCTTGTTTTAAAAACAACTTAAAAATTAATTTAAATGGAAAAAAATGAAGGATAGTTTGTAAAACAATGAAGAGAATGGGAGAAATTATGTAAAATGATGAAATTGAGGAAGGATAATATGTAAAATGATGAAGATGTTGTGAGAAATTATGTAAGAATGAGGTAGGTATTTATACAAAAAATTTAGAATTTTTTTTTATTTAAAAAAAAAAAAAAAACTTCTAGCTAAAGCCAGCTAACGGCTAGGTGACATTAGCTCATATGAAGTACAAATAATAGAACTTATGCAAATGGGGTTTGGGGATTTTGTAGCCCTTCCTTTTTTTTTTGTAGCCCTTTGTGTAGCTCATTCTTGAAAAATGAGTTTTGGGGATTTTGGGCTATATCCTCAAATATAGCCCTCACTTAGAAATGACCTCAATGTTCTTGACCACTCAAGCTAAAAGTCTCTTCATGGAAAATTGTATTTACTTTGTGATATTACACTGAAGTATTTTAACTATCAGTTTTCCTCTTTTCTTTGTATGATCGAAGTGTAAATGTTGAAGCAATCGTCCCCTTTATATAAGGAAGTTACATGACACAAAATTGAGCATGTGCAGGTGAAAATCAACTACCATCGTGTAAATGTGAAACTATTTCACCTATTGTTTCGGTGCATTTGATACATGTATCAAAAGACTACCCTGGGGCCAATTGCATAATATCTACAACTATTACAACAAAAATTCAAAAGTATAAGACTTATTACATTGCAGTTATACTATGTCTACACATGCAGTTACATTTAGGTGTCCTCACACCCGAAGGGTGAAATTAATCCCCGCTTGGAGTTCGGCTTGCTCTTAGCCACAAAATGCTTTTAATGGGTTTCGAACCCCACCATTGAGACACCAGGTAGCTTGCTAACTGCACCTCAACTTGTGGTTGCAATGATACTCTATTGCCAATACACTTCGCACACTAGTTACACTTTGGGGCAGTCCCTTGAAGTAACAGGCACGCCTGAGCCATTACATTTTAGTGCTTTCCAACTCTCCAGTCTTCAATGAAATTTCTCTTGTTTCCAACATTCTCCAGCCCTCTTATTTTCCACTCTCTTTTTAAGTTTCAAGTGGCATTAGCACAATTTAAGTAAGTCTTTCTTATATTTTATTTTTTGGTTTTCACAAGCAGACTTCTAGTCCAAAACAGGGAAATACTATACAGTTGCATTATTATTTTGTTAAATTGACGATCCGCCTGCTATGCCAAAACAAATTTCATGAAGGTTTATTCCGAAATCCTAACAAAAAGACTAGACGAAACATATCATTTCAGAATAAGCAAAGCAAAAAAAAACATACATTTGAAGTACAATAATGTAAATTTGCGGACCAAAAAATATAAAATTAAGATACATCAAAACGGCGACGTATGACAAACTCTAAGTCCCAGTTAAGAAGGCCGACTCTGCAAGTCAGTTGAGGGAAGGAACAGCATTATTAGCCTTGGCTCTGTGAATCGGCGATCATCTCTATCCATCCACATTTCTCAATGGCGTGGTTCGCGAAATCCATCGCTAACTCACTCAAGCTCGACGACGAAGACGACGACGTTTACCACAATACGAACCCTAGCTCCAATACAGACCCAAATTCATCGCCACCCGATCCGCAACCCGACCCCCAATCCGGTTCGCCGTCAACTCCCACAGTCAAAGGCGACCTCTCCGAGCTCACCAAAACCCTGTCCCGCCAGTTCTGGGGCGTCGCCTCCTTCCTCGCCCCGCCGCCCGATCCGACCCATCCTCCTAACCCGTCCGCACCGCCCCAATCCGCCGATCTCGAACCTGCTGATGAGGACGTCATCGCGGGAATTCGCAGCGACTTTGCTGAGATCGGAGGGAAGTTCAAGAGCGGGATCTCGAAGCTGTCGAGTAACATAGCGGTCTCGGAGTTCACTAAGATCGCTTCGAATTTGCTTCAGTTTGGATCGGAGGAGGAGGCTGAGGCAGCTGGGGCTGCTCTTGGAGTGACCCAGGAGGTTCTCGCGTTCGTCAGGAATGTCTCTATGCATCCGGAGACTTGGCTGGATTTCCCTCTCTCCGATGATGAAGATTCAGATGGTATGTTTCGCTTCGAATTTGACAATTTTTTGGGTAATTCAATTCAATGTGCGTCGGCTTGATGAATCATTTGTTCATCTTATTGTAAATTTGTGTTATTTATGGTCAATGTAGTGTTCGTAAAGCATGAATTTGAGGTATTTGTGTTGCCCATGTGGATTTTTCCTTTCGTATTTGTTTCAATTGTTAATTTGAATTGAAGGGATTGAATAATAAGGTATATCTCTGTTCATCGTGTTGTGATTTAAGGGCGTAAAACTTTAATAGTATTGAAATTGACAATGGAACTTTTGTTGAATTTGTTGCTGAGTTAAATTTATTCAAGTAAGTTATTGTCATAATACATGTCGTTGATTATTCTCTCCATTGAAACTTGTGGGGAATTGGAATAAGATTGTTGTGACTTGTGAGTTTGCTTTTCCAGATTTTGAATTGTCTGATGTCCAACAAGAGCATGCTCTGGCTGTTGAACGGCTTGCACCTTCATTGGCTGCTCTCAGGATTGAACTTTGCCCTGAGCATATGAGCGAGGCTCACTTTTGGATGATTTACTTCGTGCTCTTGCATCCTAGACTCAGTAAACATGATGCCGAGCTTCTGTCTACACCCAAGGTAAGTTGATTCTATGCGGCACTGACCCAAAACTCCCTTTTCATTGTTCTTGTTCATTGCCTTTTTTTGGTGGGTTATTAATTTTTTTGCCAGCAACAATGCTTTGCTTGACTTAATGATATGTCTGCAGATAGTGGAAGCTAGAGCAATGTTGTCTTATGAGTTGAAGAAGGGAGCTAATGAAAAGCAAGAATCAGACCCTTCTGGAAGTGGCACTATTTATGCGAAAGGAATTGCTGATTCCCCAAAAGAACAGCATCTTTCTGTGCCGCCTAGTGTTCAATCTGACCTAGTGCCTCCCCATGCATCTACCATCAGATCAGCTCCTCAACCAGCGGCAGTTGATCTTGAGACTGAGAAGCACACAGTTCAGAGTAGTGAGATCCAAATTATTGACAAGCCCGTTATTGAGGAAGGACCATTGAAAGAGACCAAATTTCAACAGCCACTTTCTAATTCTTCCTCCAAAGTTGCGGATGAGAAATATGAGGATGATGCTGATGATTGGTTGAAAGAGGAAACTTCAGAGATAGATGGTGTCGGGGAAACCTCCATCCCTATAGAGAATGACGAGGATGTATCTTTCAGTGATCTTGAGGATGATGATGGAGAGGCGCCCTCAAGTTACAAGAAGGTCACATCTGGCTCTGATTCTTCAACAAAAGACTCAAGAGATTGGGTTCAGCTAAGCAGAACCTCTGCTGATTCAGACAAGGAAATCAACTCTGTTGAGATTAGACATGTTGGGTCTGAGCAGGTAAGTTCCCGTAACCTGGAGACCAAAGAATCTAATGACTGGCTTGACGTTGAAGACATTGATGTTATATGATTACTTCCATAAGAACCCTTTTTAGGTCAATATGGCCTATTCTTCCCATTCATCTGTTATTGTGAATAGATTGTGGAAGGTTTCTTTAGTCTTCGTTTGGCTATGGAAACTGTATTATTGTACATAACGCCTGATACTGGATAATTGTTTCTTATGAAGAATGTATTTATAAGTGTAGCAAAATACAGCACCACGCAATAATCTTGATTTGTTTATTTCATATAAAGTTGTGCTTTGTTATGCTCATCCTGGTCCGTACTGGTAGTGTTTGTTTTTGTTTTTCTTATAGTTGTTTGTTCCTTCAGGAAGGTTAAGTTTCGTGAGAAACTCGTTCAAGATCAAGGTTGAAGATTTTTATAAGACTAAAACAGAAAAGAATGTGGCCTCGCTTGTTAAAAGAAGTCTAGAAAATTTGCATGTGCTGTTTGATTGTGTAGAGAAGTTCGGTAATAGCTGGTGACCTGAGAGATGTGAACCGTGTTGATAATTATATATAACATATAACATAGAAAACTTTTACTTTTATGTCTTCGAAAATGATAGGCGTAGTTTTCAATACATTCTGATTATGTCTTGGTCTTGCATTGGTTTGGTTCAAACCTGTACTAGCCATTGGTTTCCATTCTTGTAAAATGTTCATGAGTAGGTGTGAATGCCTTTTCTTTCTCTCTCTTTTTTATTTTTTATTTGGTGAATGTCGTTAATAGAATGGTGATTTCCTCACACCAAATGGGGGTGAGAGGATGTGTATAACAGTTCCTGTTCAAACCTTTGGTGTTGTTAATGCAAATCAATTTTTTTGGTAATAAGTTAATTCTGATTTTTGCCAATATATATTGATGATAGGGAGACCAACTCTCTAATAGAGCATGGGACCCATTGTGTTGGTGGGCTTCACCTCTATTAGAGAGTTGGTACACAAGTTGGTATCCCAAGTTGGTCTCCCTAGCATAACCCTAATGCAAATCAATTTTTTTGGTAATAAGTTAATTCTGATTTTTGCCAATATATATTAGGGAAATGTATGAAAATGACTTATTTTAATGAGTGACAAACTATTTTGACTGAGTTTGCCAAATTCTACTTTTATAACTCATTTTGCATGTGAAAAGGGTTTATATCTTGGGTCGGGTCGAACATATATTTATTTATATAGAAATACCCGAACAAGGGGTTCCACAAATATATATTTATTTAGGCTTATTTGTTGAAATACTCCTGTGGTTTTCGAAAACCCCCTGAACTTCCATTCTGTGATCAACTTGCTCCATTCCATTAGTTTTTAGAGAAAAATCGTTAAATCAGCTGATCCTGTAGTTCTCCTAACATATTTTGGTTTGATAGTTTATGTGGAGTGCAGATTGTATAATGTAAATATGTTCCTCATTTTAGAGATAAATTATGCATAAAAATTCTTGGATTTGAAACTAATCTGTACAATGAATGCCCATGAGACTTTGCTCAAGTGGCGTGGGATGAGGCTGAAGCTAAAATCTAAGGTTCAAATCTTCCTACAGTTACTTAAAAAAGAAAAAGTAATAAAACAAATCTGTACAAATAAAAAACACAAGCTGCCTAGGAAGAGAAGAACTACCTTGACCCCTGATCACACACTTATTTACAGACACAACCTTAAGCCTGATTAAAAGCACCACATTAATTAATTGATTACTTAGGAGCTTAATTATGATTTGATGGCCCCAAAACTGCTAGAAAGGCGCTCCAGATGAGACCAGACCAAGCTTCCAAGTGAGAATCTGGGCCTGTCTTCTTCTTCTATTCTTCTGTTGTGTATTTTGTGGCTTGTCCTTGAGGAGGAGGAGGCCTGTGGAGCCCACTTGTGGGATTTGTGAACTGCAATGATGGATTCTCCAATCTCCTTTCTCACCAGTTCCACTGCGTTTGGATTTACTTCATCCCCCGAAGCATCCGTTACATAGATTGATCCTACTGCTCTTTCACCACGTGTTCCAATCTCAATCCTCGACATTGATAGTCCGTTCTCTCGGAAAACCCTTGTGATGTCTGATAACAATCCCATTCTATTTTTAGCGCACAGGTCCAACCTCAAGCCCTGCTAAAGTATTATTTCCGTCATCACTCAGTCACACACGAGTAATGCTAGAAAGATCACATTTACAAACTTGATATATGATAATTAATATGTGGAATGACTATAAGAATTTATATAACGAGCACATATATATCATAACTAGAAAATCTAATAGATAACAAGTTGAGACATACCTGTGAGATCCTTCTCTCTATTGAAGCAATCAAGCACAGGGTAAGCTTGTGCCTCTCACTCTCTTTATTCGAAGTGTAGCCATCCTTATGCCGGACAAAATACTCCTGTAAATGTCACATATTTCACATTCAAATAACATCAAACACCATACAAAGACAGAACATGGGACAAATTTTAGTTACTAATTGCCATGCACAAGCTCAATTAATAACGTGCCTACCTGATCTGCCAGGGTTCCCCTGGAGGCAACCACCGCATGGAACACCACGTATTGCAAGTCGGTTAGGGCACACACGGTGTCAAACAGTAGTTTGGGTCGGTCTATGCTCCTCACATTCACAATCCAATACCCTTTCTCCTTACAACTCTCTATGTACACATGGGTCCGATCACAACCCTTCTTGTGTGCACTGCTGCCACTACCGTCACAACCACGACAACTTTCATAGTCCTCGTCGGCATACATCAACTGGTGGAGCCGCCGCTCCTTGTGGGTGTGGCCACCTGCCGGGGTGGTCAGCCTTACACTCCATTTCTCCCCCTCCTCATGATGGGCTTTAACTACATGTTCTAGCTGCTCCTGTACATGGGCCAGCCGAATTGGGTCTGTTATGGGCCCACCTTCCAGCCCATCTTCCACGTAGAAAATGCTGGCCGCCCGGGTACCGTGGGTCCAAGTCACAGCAGTAGTGATGTTGCAGCCCAACTCAACAAGGACCGCGGATATCTCAGACACTAGGCCCGGTCGGTCCTTGCTGGTCATTTCTAGGGCTAAGTCCTTCCGCCCGGGTGTCACATTTCTTCCTGGGCATAGTCTAACCTCCTTTGAAATCCCTCTCCTGCTAGCACATAGTGCCTGCAAATTTATTAGTTATGATTAAAACGAAACGAAACAACAGAACTAGTGTATGAGGAGGAAATATATATTATGAGCTTTGTCTGGCACGACATGGCTTCATTGGGGGCCAATTTAGAAGAGACCGGGCCACAACTGTTTTGGATCATGTTGGTTCAGTTCGACTCTAAATTTACACATCTAAAAGTAGCAGGATGGATTGAGGAAAAATTACTCTTTGTGCTAGTTCCTATGTGATAACTCAATGTGGTGTTACGAATTCACATGTACCTATGTGATTTATGTTATAATTTAGGTGGTCACAAACAACATGCCACATAGTGTTTACGTCGGTTAAAAAAAAGTTTTTGAGAGAGAGAGAAAAAGACCTGCTGAATATAAAGTATGAGGCTTTCGTCGGTGATTTTGTTGCCGAGTTGATCCGTCACGTGGAACACTGCACCACCATGCAATCAAAACAGACACACATGAAAATCCGGCAGCTACTAACTCATACATAGCTCAGAAAGCGATCATAATTATATACAACAAAACTCAATAAAAACGAGTAAATAAAATTATCTAAAGCATGTCTAATATATAAAAAATAAAAAATAGGATAATATTATAATAAAATTCCACTGTGTGTGATGAAGGTGGCGAGGAAGTGTAATTACCATCCATAAACCATCCACCATCAGAGGATATGTATGATTTGGAAATAACAAGGTCAAGATCTGTCAAAACTTGGACCATCTCTAGCAAAATCCCGTGCTTGTTTGCACTGTCAACCTGTAAATTAATTTTTAATCAATATATAAACGACAACAACATCAGTATATTTCCTCTCATGCATATGTCATTTTCTTACCCTTAACAAAGGAACCTTTTCAACTCTACGACTCTGTTGCATGTAAAATAATAGGGTCAAGGTTCAGATAGGTGTTTTTTTTTTAATACAAGCGATAGTCTAAATGATAAGG